AAAAATCTTATAACGAATTCGCGGGCGCGCAAAAACCTCCGAGGACACTCATTCTTCCCAAATATGCATTTTTATCGACGTATTTCGGTACTTTGTACTGTTACGATCGGCCTTAAATTTTGCACACACCTAGATATATGAACAATATTTAGGAATCAGAAAAAAAAGTGCAAAAAATCTTATAACGAATTCGCGGGCGCGCAAAAACCTCCGAGGACACTCATTCTTCCCAAATATGCATTTTTATCGACGTATTTCGGTACTTTGTACTGTTACGATCGGCCTTAAATTTTGCACACACCTAGATATATGAACAATATTTAGGAATCAGAAAAAAAAGTGCAAAAAATCTTATAACGAATTCGCGGGCGCGCAAAAACCTCCGAGGACACTCATTCTTCCCAAATATGCATTTTTATCGACGTATTTCTGTACTTTGTACTGTTACGATCGACCTTAAATTTTGCACACACCTAGATATATGAACAATATTTAGGAATCAGAAAAAAAAGTGAAATAAATCTTATAACGAATTCGCGGGCGCGCAAAAACCTCCGAGGACACTCATTACTCGGAGGACACTCATTAGGGTGACCGAGATCCGCCATTTTTAAAAAGCGCAGAAAAATCTACAAAACGAAGAAAAGAAAATACCATTGTTGAAAAGACTTACAAATCTTCATAAACTACGGATTAAGTAGGTGAGTGACTATATTGTCATTTGTTTTTGATCGGGGGATCAAATCAAGTCGTCACTGTCAGCTAGGCTATATATAGCATTCTGTATTGTGCTGATCACGCGGCTTTGTTTGTAAACAAAACACTTGAATTTAAGACGAACATTTGGTGGTCCATTAAGCGTCTAGTGAACATGGCGGATGCAGGCAGGGATGTTGTTGTGCTGGGACATAGCTTAGTGAAACGTTTAGAAAAGTACATCAAGGAAGGGAATCGAAATAATATGAGTTTATCGAGTTCATTTTCATGGCGTGTCGGGAGCCAAAGTGGGGAGGATTCGTGCAGATCTACATAAGGTTTTTATGATACATAAACAGGTCAGTGTTTGTGTTTTACAAGTAGGAGGTAACGATATCAGCAGCCCGACAGCAAGTGTAGACGGAGTTGTCGATTCTATTAAAAACATTGTGCGGTTGTTGTTGTCGAAATACCACGTACAGCATGTTTGTGTCAGCAAGCTATTTCGCAGGGGGAAAACTCGACCTCATAAAGATGACGTTTCATTAGCAGTGTATAACGAAAGGGTTGCTCTTGCAAACGAACTTTTGCTAACCAGGTTAGATATTCCTCGGGTGACAGTTTGGGACCACAGTAGGGAGATCTGGGACGTGTGTCAGTTGTATTTGGACGATGGTGTTCATTTCGCAGAAATGAAACCATATTACCGCTCACTCCGGGGATGTATCATCAGGGCATTGAGTTTGATTTAAATAAGAACGTGACATCGGGCGATAGCAGTACGTCTTGATTACCCCAGGGCAAGATGAAGACTTTATACGATATAAAAAACTTACTGAAGTCTGTTTTATTTCTAACGGTTATCTCCCTTTGAACGAGGCAGTGATTAATCAATTTCTTCTATATACTGTATAGATTATAGTACTGGGTATATCTATATGGAATGTGTGTATTTGGTAGTATGGGGCACTTGTCAATATTGCCTTGTGCATATACGCCATTATCTGTTAATTACAGAGGTGTAACATTGACATTTGGCTTCAGTACTATATATAGAAATAGACATACATATGATTATATGAAATAACCAGAGTTGTGCTCTCTATCAAATACTTAGTTAAATGCTAAGACAATTTTGGTTGGCAATAACAGTAGTTGTCTCAAAAGTCATTATATTAGAAATTTATTAAAGGCAGGGCCATTTGTGGTTGATAATACCTAAAGTTGCCTCCAGATACACTATATCAGGATTATTAGAGTCATTTAAAGTTGACAGTACCAAAAGTTGCCTATATAATTAGGTCATTGAAGGTAGGCGGTACATTGTTGCCTATATATCCAATACACCAAACTTCTTCAAGGCATTTGAGGTTGGCAGTACCCATTGTTGCCGGAAATATCAATTACAATATATCAGAAGGATTATTATGACATTTGAGGTTTACAGTACCCGTTGTTGCCTATAGATTGAATATACAATATATATCAACATTCTTAAGGGCATTTGAGGTTCCCAGTAACCCAAAGTTGCCTTTATATACATCATAATTCTGCATGGCATTTGAGGTTGACGATACCCGTAGTTGCATAAATTTACAAAATGTCAGAATTCTTAAGGGCATTTAAGGTTAACAGTAACCCGTAGTTGCCTATATTTACAAAACATCAGTATTCTACAGGGCATTTGAGGTTGACGGTACCCGTAGTTGCCTTTATATACAATATATCATAATTCTGCAGGGCATTTGAGGTTGACAATACCTGTAGTTGCCTACATTTACAAACATCAGTAGTCTTCAGAGCATTTCAGGTTGACAGTACCTGTAGTTGCTTTTAATTTGTAAACAATACATCAGAATTCTTCAGGGCATTTTATCATGAGGTGGACAATACCCATAGTTTTCTACATGTCCAATATATCAGAATTCTTAAAGGCTTTTGAGGTTAATATCAGAACCATTGAGAAATGAAGCTAACAGTATAACCAAACTTTTAACAAATATAGGAACATTAAAGAGCCTATGGGTAAGTACTCTCTGTTGATTTTCAATGATTAATGTTAGGGCATTTAAGGCCTTAAGGATGTTGGGTTAAATAAAACAAGTTAAAATGAATACATGAAATATTTCTGATGTATTTTTGGTATCACAGATATTTGCTCTCCTTTTACTTCATATGCACCTTAGGTTTCCAACATCATGCCGCCAAAAAGAAAGGCTGCAGAGGCTAATAACCTAGTGGGGAACAGGAGCAAAACAAGGAAAAGACTCCCAGCCACAACAAACAGAAATCTATCAGGAGAAGATGGAGCAGTGGCTGATGCAGAGGGCGTACCTGTGCTTAGCATGACACCTTCTCACATGCAAAACCTCATCAAACAGGCCTATGAACGAGGCTTGCAGGAAGCTCGGGCTCAGGCAGGGAGTACCACTATTGGTGACTCATCAGTGGCCACAGAAATTGTTGTGGATAGCGGCACTACATCAGTCAGTGGACTTCAATCTGCACCCTGTCATCCGGAACCTGTCATCAGTGATGAGATTGGTGGGTCCTCGTCCACTATGTTTTTACCCAATTCACAAACAATTCCAGCCAATTGTGTTGTCAGGTCATGTGAGGGTGTTGAGGTCTCATCATCATCCACAGGCAATGACCAATTTCACTCGGCGTCAATTCCATTGATGGATTTGGTCTCAGACAAAGTGAAGGAAAGAATATGGGCCAACAAATTTGTTGACCTGGCTTCCATCACAGACAAGAACCAATCCAGTTTTGAAATGGTGCTGAAAGGGGATGATGATGAGTCGCCATCCCTACACTGGTGTAAGAAAGAGCCTTCCAAAAAGAAACTGTCAAGAGAGACATGGAAAAATAAATTCACCATTTTCACAGCTGTGTACTGTAAGAAGTACCCTGATGCAATCGAACAGTTGCTAAAATATTCATCCGTTATCAGGGACCTTGCACTCAAGCAGGCTGATTGGGTATACTATGACACCATGTTTCGGGACCTCCGTTGCCACAGGGAAATGGCATGGGATCTGATTCATATGGAACTGTGGCATGAGGCTATTTCTCGCCGCCAACAATCCTCACATACCTCTTCTCAAGCATCTCTTCAGAGCAAACTTCCAAATACAGGGAAAGGCCCTTGTTGGAAATTTATGAGAGGGGTACACTGTGGAGGTTGTAAGTACTCACATAAATGTGGTACTTGTGGGGCGAGACATGCGGCAAAGGACTGTCCTATGCTGGGTTCCATATTCCACAACTCGGACAGCTCTGCCATGCCTTTTGCGCCAAATTCTTTTCGTGGCTTTAGAGCTGGTGGGCGACCGACAGGCAGATATCAGTCCGGTCGAGGACGGTACCAATCTTTCAGGGGAAACAGGGGCTCATACCCACGACATAGTGTCGCCCGTTAACCCAGATACACTGGCTCAACTACTGCTAGGATATGACCCAGATAAAACTAAGTTTTTAGTAAATGACTTTACTAATGGTTTTCATATTCACTTTGAAGGCGACACTTCTGGTAGATCCTGCAACAATCTCAAGTCTGCGATCGAAATGCCAGATATTATCGACAAAAAATTAAAAGCAGAATTGGATGCTGGTAGAATTGCTGGCCCTTTCAATGATAAGCCTTTTAAAAAATAATCATGCTAGTCCATTAGATGTTGTTCCTTAAAAAGAGCCTGGTAAATTCCGTTTAATTCATCACCTGAGTCACCCAAAAGGGTTTTCGATCAATGATGGGATAGCAGACGCAAATGCTTCAGTGCATTATTCAACAATAACTGATGCAATCCCATTTTTAAAATCCTTACACGAACCATATATGGCTAAAACAGACATTGAATCAGCATTTCGAATAGTTCCAATTCACCCTAGTCAACGCTACCTGCTTGGTTTCAAGTGGAAAGACAAATTTTATTTTGACAAATGTTTACGTATGGGTTTAGCAGAAAGTTGCAGGATCTTTGAAGAATTTAGTACGCACTTGAGTGGGCAGCATATAGCAAACTTTGGGCAACAGCGGTAGTTCATGTACTTTTTTGTTTATTGAAGAAAATGCTGCAGCATGTAGCCTGATTCTCTCTGATTTCAAAAAGATGTGTTCTAGTATTGGGGTTCCTTTGGCGAGGGAAAAAACATTTGGTCCTGACCAAGTCATGCCTTTCTAAGGCATTACTTTGGATGCCAAAAAAATGGAGGCAAGGCTACCAGTAGACAAATTAAAACACTGTCAGGAATTATGTAGGGCATATAAAACAAGACAAAGGGTCGTCCTTAGAGATCTGCAATCATTGATTGGTACACTGCAGTTTGCAACATCTGTAGTATTACCAGGGCGGGCCTTTTTACGCAGACTTATTGATCTTACAATCAACATTAAAAAAACATATCACAAAATACGTCTTTCATCAGCTATCAGAGCAGACCTCTCAACATGGGAGTCCTTTTTAGACGAATTTAATGGGTGCAGCTTCTTTTTGAATGATCACTGGGTGACATCCCAAACACTGAAGTTGTATACAGATTCCTCATCAACCATTGGTTTTGGGGCAGTTTTTCAGAATTCATGGTTTTGTGGTCAGTGGGACAATGAAGCAAAAAAGCACCATATAACTGCTTTAGAACTTTATCCTATTCTTGCAGCATTGTACGCTTGGGGACATAAATTTAGAAACCAGGCCTTGTGGTTATGTACTGATAATCTAGCTTTAGTTTATATCATAAATAAACAAACGTCACGAGACAAAGTCATCATGAAAATGATTCGCCCATTAGTACTGTATTGTCTTCATAATAACATACTGATTAGGGCAACTCACATTGAAGGGGTCAAAAATGTTTTAGCTGATGCCTTGTCTCGTTTACAGATAAAGCGATTCAGAGTGTTGCTAACCACTGCGGACCGATCGCCCACTCAGGTGCCACCTCAAGTCAATCAGGACCTGTTTTTCAAACATTGAATGTACTTCTGAATGCATCACTCTCTCCTGTGTCCCAAAAAATTGTATAATAGATCTTTGCAGCTTTTCTCAGAATTTTGTTCTAATTATTTGCGAATGGCTGTCCTGTTACCAGTCAATCACACTATTGTAGCATTATATGTCGCTCATGCACATAATTTGTAATTTGCCAATAGCACCATAGCCTCACATCTGTCAGCTATCGCATATTGGCACAGCCTACATGGGTTTGCTGACCCAACAAAGTCATTTTTAGTCAGAAAAGCAATCCGTGGAGCAGCCAGTCTAGACCTCACATATGATATCAGGTTACCAATCACATTGCCAATCTTAGAGCGTTTATGCTCTGCAGTCCCGACAATTCTGAACAATGTTGTCCAACAAAATTTGGTTGTGGCTGTGTTTACTGTAGCCTTCTACAGCTTAGCACGCATTGGGGAACTGCTAGGACATTGTTCTCTGGGTACATCTCCAAAGAAAGTAGTACAGTTAGATGATGTCACTTTTGAGGCAGATGGTGCTGTTCTAAAACGTATGCATATTACTTATAGGGAGTTCAAACATAACATTTCAGGGAAACCTCATGTGATACCTGTTGAGACGAACACTACAAGTAACACATGTCCAGTTACATCCTTGTACAATTACATAAAAGGTGCCTCCTATGCGGCAGCCAAAGGCTTCACAGATGCACAAATTAGGTTATTAGGTCGCTGGAAGACAGATGCATTCAAGAGGTACATACGCTCTCCTTCGTTATAAGTAGAACTTCAGAACACTGTCATGATGAGTTTGATTATGCTTGGCCACATGTTATAGTAACACAATAGTAGCGGGACGCTCGTGTTAGGTGGTCTTGGAAGCATCAGTAAGGTTGACCAGCCACAAGGACCTGTAAGTGATACACAATAGTAGCGGGACGCTCGTGTTTCAGTGGCGGGCAACTTGATGAGGTTAACAAGTATGCAGTCACATCTAGTTCGAATAAGCACATCTGTAGCGGAACGCTCAGGTTATGTGGACAATGAACTATTTTATAGGTTGTCCAGCCACAAGGACTTGTATGCAATAGCAGTGGGATGCTTATGTTTCAGTGGCTGGCAACTACTACTATAAATACAAGTGATAAAAATATGAGGAAGGCTTGTAGCGGTACGCTCCCTTTCCTACATTGTTTCATGGCTATATCTTTTGAAAGATAGAAATGTGTTTCACTGTTTTGTTGTGATGTTTTATAAATTGTTCAAAGTGATTATGATGATTTTATGTAGGTAGAAAACATGCAGCTCGGGTGGCGGCGTCATCACTGGCTTGTCTGGCTTGTGATGCCTTATGGCGGTTTTAATTGGCCGCACCTTTACAAAAAGGTAATTCATTTCGAATATAAAAGTCAAAAGAAAACAAAAATTAGGAAAGAGAAATCATTTCAAAAAATAATCAAAAGAAGAAATACAAAACAAATAATTTAATAAATTCGGCGGCCCAGTTTTTTGGGTGAGCCATTTACGCCAAACCCAGGTCTTTGTGTTATGATTTTGTAAACAGAGCGTTGCTGCATGTTTCGTAGTTAAAAGGAGTTAACATCTCATAGCTGCTTTGGAGGAACTTGGGAAAACATGAAGAACAAAAATTAAAAGTATATTTATATACGATTTTTTGGACAACAAAATGTTTTCATTTAATAATATTCCTTCGGGGACCCCACAGTTGGGTTCCCCTTGTGGGCCCCCTGCTTCAGAAAGAAAGGGGGGATTCCCATTGGTTGAAAGGTCAAAGGCGAAAGGGCCCCCTGGCTCCTTGCACGCTGACCCCAATCATTAACCCCACAGCCTTTAGATCCGCCATTTTTAAAAAGCGCAGAAAA